AGCAATTTTTTAGTTAATTAAACGACAAAGACAAGCAAAAGGCAAACAATTTCCCCTCGCACATTGCACCATTTGGCTTTGGCAACTGCCTTGGGCTTTTCTGGGGCAGACAGGGCAGTCCTCCTCGGCACCACTCCCACTTGTGCAGCACTAAAATGACCAGGGACCAGTTTTTGAGGCAGCCAAAAATGGGAGAAAGCAAAACTTTAACAAATGTCAGAGATCATCGTGCAGGGACTTTGTACATTTTTCAAGCAGACATCCTGCTGCGATCCTTGGGGCCTGGCAACAAAGTCATTGGACATAAAGAATCCTGGCCAAAGCAATCAATGTTAATGAATTTTAATGACTTCCACCAAGGCAAGGCAATCAGGAGAACTGCAAGTGTTTTATCTGCTCTGGCCACACACACACACACACTCGACTCGACTTGACTCGACGCTAATGATGCGAAACAACAATTGAAAACGGCGAAATGCAAAGTACCTCCGAGGTCCTGTCCCGCTCATATCGCACACAAATTACTGGCGTGGCCAGCAGCAGTGCAGTGTGCAGTGTGCAGTGTGGAGAGTGGAGAGTGGCGAGTAGAGTGTGGTAAGCGACCACTAAAAATGCGCAACTTTGTAAGCCATTTTTGCCATTTTGCCCCAAACCATTTGTCGCATTTCGTTTAGCCATTTATTTATTTGCACTCATTTAAACTCTGTAAACTGCATTGTTTTTCCCACTTACACTCCCAGTAGTGTGGGTAGCATGTTGTCCGGTTTTGTCCCATCTTTGTTATTAAGAATGGCGTAATCATAGCTGGATGTGGGGTTCCTTTTTTTTTTGGCGTTAGCCCCCAATGGGGTCTGGCATGCTCTAATTAAGTGCATTTACTCTAATGAGCAAAAATGGCAGCAGCAGCAGGAGCAGACCCAGCAGCAGCAGTGGCAACACAACACAAAAACAAAACAAAAAAAAAAAACTGTCACAGTTCCGTGGACGACGCGACCGTGCGTGAAAACTGCCCTGCCCTTCAGCTGGAGTGCAGCATCCTGGGCAAGTTTTGTGGTTTCGTTTTCTCGGGAGGTCGACCTCGTTTAAGGGCTTTCCCCCAAAAACCTTTTAAGCAAAGACTCCGGTCTCTTGGCCCGGGGGGTGGGTTCTGGGTGGTTTGTCTATGCAAAATTTTGTGACGCTCATTAGTGCAATTTGCATGCATAACGGCAAATAGTAGTATGGCTGCAGCCAGATGAGGCCTCCGGTGCTGTCCATCTATCTGGCCACATCCATATCCACATCCACAGCCATGCATGCACCCATCCATTCCATCCACAACAAATACAGAAACAGATACAGCTGGAAACTAGGAGGGACTGGGTAGGGTAGCTGGGAGTGGAGAGTGCTATGCAATTGCTCTCTCCACATTCATCAAATTCAGAGACAGAGCAAAGGCATTTATGTAGCTGCTCCGTTCATTGTCGAATTCAAATATGTAGACTAGAATTTTTGTATCCAGCCATGCACATATATCGTACTCGGCAGATGCAGAGGTGGCAGCGGGAGGGAGGCCCATGCCATCCTGATTCAGATTCGGATTCAGCGACACTAAGTAAACATCAGCGCAGCTGTGCCAAAGGATAACAGCTCTCGTCGGCTCGCAGGCTCACAGGCTCACAGGCTCTGAAAATATGCAAATGTCCCTCCCTGTCCACATACTCGTGTGTTTGCCTAGTCGTGGCTCTCTCTCTCTCTCTCTTCTCGCTGTTCTGTTCGATCTGCCATCACATCCAGATAAAACACAAAACATGCCGAATTAGTAGAAAGCAAAACAATCCAAAAAAAAAAAGCATCCCCACCCCCTCCGAACATTTTTCCGAAAAACCAAATTCATTTTCAATTAAGAATTTTTGCAGCATATCGACACAGAACGTATCCCGTTCTGTGTCCTGTGCCTATCCCTCTGTCGTATCGAGTGGATTGCCAATGGAAAAACATTTCAAATGCTAACTAAATTACGCAATCTTCACATACATATATATCTATCAGCACAATGGCCACTACACTACGTACGACACATTTTCGTATATAGTTTTTACGCCATTTTGCAGTGGCGGCTGCTGCTGCTGCTGCTGATGTTGACACTCGCTCGGCGGGCATATGGGCCGGGATGGGTGTCAGAATGTGGTCAAAATGCCAATTGCAAAACAATTGCATTTTGGTTACTTTGCTGTTGAATCCGGAATTTCGATGGCAGCCAACTAACAAACAGAGGGAGAGCAAGGCTTCCGTTGACACCAACAGCCACTCCTCACTCCCCGCCCATAGGATATACATATGTATGTACGATACTGGTGTACATCCAAAGACAATTAAATTCTAGCTTTTTAGTTAAAAGGAATATATTGTACGTACCAGAATATGCCTTTTATTCCGTCGCTCTCCCCAGTTTTTTTGGGGAAAGGGCGTGAAATTTGAAATTGTTAAACTCGATTTTCGTTTTGTGCAATGCGAGTACCAAAAATGGTTAGACGACAAGCAGTTCTGTCATATTCACACATAGCCAGTGTGACAGACGGAACAAAAACCCAAAAAGCAATTAAATTGTACACTCTGCCATGGCAGCAGCAACTGCAGCAGCAACAGCAGCAGCAGGCAAAAGCTAAGCAACAAAAGACAGCAAAGGCATCAAGCAACAATATTATAACATTTGCCGACTGCAACAAAAAAAAAACAAACCAGTAACTACATGTACATATGTGTATGTACAGATGTATGTATGTATGTATATTCTGAGCCTGAGAGAGATGCAAATGCTGAATCCTGGTTTTTTTTTGTTGTGTTTTTGTCCCCACTTGCAATTGAATCCATGTGAGTGACAGCCTGACATGCAAATACGTTTAATTTCAAAAACTAAACTAATAAAAGCTTTGCTGACACTGAAATCCCTTTTTACCAAACCAGCATAAAAATATTCGGTACAAAACAAATGGGCAATCGAAATGAATTTCCAGCTAAAGTTGGCCAAAAACTAATGCACGCTGAGGTTCGGTTCGAGTGCGTTTCACTTCTGAATGCCATACAATTTTTGAATCAAATTAGCACACCATTTTTAAAATCGGATGCAGCAGAGACATATGTATAAAAAAAACTCAACTCAACTCTTACTAAAAATTGCAGTGCAGTGCCAAAATACTCGATTGGTTTTGGTAACTTTTGAGGGCACTTCAACGCCCAATTCAATGTTTTTTGCGGTCTCAAATTGCTCAAACTTCAAAGCATGTGGGATTTTCGCATGCGAATGATGGAGCATCATGGAGTGTAGCGTCCGTTTAATCAAAAAGCAATTTTCAAGAGCCTTCTCCAGACTGCGCCAACTATGAGTGGGCAGACCGCCCCCACATATGGTAACCATTAGAGATGGTCATGAGAATGGTGCAAAGATAGCCAGCTCCCTGGTGTAACTCATTCTGAAATGGTGTTGATTTACAAAAAATAAACGTCACACCTCTGACATTCTGCGGACAGTTTTAATTATTAGTAACTATTTTGTTGCGAATTATAGTCACTAAAGAATAAAGACTAAAAAGAGGACAAAACAAATACCAGACAACAAAAAATATTTTTAATTGGAAACTTCATCTTTTGACTCGACATATCTTCTGGTACAGTCTTTTTAATACATTAATTGTAATGTATTTTTTAACTGCTGATGCCAACAGAGCGCCAAAACGTGTTTTTTTAATTTTTAAAAAAGCTTTTAAGGGTATATGGCAAATTCTAAGTATGAGGATAGGATAGGATCTGTCTGCTAATTATTTGAGATAAATTGTGAATTTGTATAAAAAATCACATTCAATCGGGTAATATCACAAAGATCTTCGAGATGTGTGTAATTCTCAAGCATCATCTCTGCTAGCTTTTGGCCACTGACACCGGCGTAACGAATGCAGGGAATGCAAGGAAATTACAACTCAATGATGCGCCAGATATTTCAATGCAAAATGATAAATATTTCGTTGAAGCTGGGCAGCAATTTTAAACTGCCAGCGAGGAGTACAAGGCGAAACATTTACGTGATCCGGCTAGGAAGGGAACAACAATACACTCGGGTCCTATGAAAACTCACACACACACACTCACACAGGGACACACAGGAACACAGAGAGATGCACAGAGTCATGACCATGCATAGACCGGCTCAATCTAGCTGTTAAAATCGGCAAACGCAACAAAAGAAATCGCACACTTCAACGTTTTGAATTTGTAAAAGGATATTTTTCACATTATAATAAGAAATGAGGCTGAGGACGCGCCTCGCATGCTGTGTGGCTGCTGGGGAAAACACAACCCTCTGTAGTCGTCTCTCTCCCTCTCCCTGGCCCACACACTTTAAAATGCAGAACAGCTGAAAAATCATATAAACACAAATAATAAAATCGACAATTTGGCAAGAGGCACACGCACACAAACGCACATCCATACGCGCTTAGATTTGAGTATCAGTGTGTCTGTCTCTTTGTGAATGCGTACGAGTATATGTTCATAATATGTGTGTATGTATTGCAATGAGCACATAACCGCAAATGTACTGGCAACAAAACGTGCCGCGATTTCTTAAAAATACCCATTAAAATGCTCCAAGGATACAGGGATGTACATATGTATTTCCAAACTCAAACATAGGCAAACTCTGATGGAAAAGTAGTCGCGTAATAATAGGCCGACAGTACAGGCCTCTTTGGACAGTAAAGTTACTTATAAAGGGGTTCAACGACGACCCTTTCTATGCATGATAAATATCTTAAAATTCTTAAATAATTTTCATAAGAATATTGCATATCGATTTTCTGTAGGGAAAAGTTCTATACATTTCCATACTATGTACATATATTATTAGACAATCTTATTTGGCATTCCACACCATATAAAGTGCAATTCGTTACCAGCCAAAGAAACGAATCAATTTAGAGGGGCAAACCACTGAAACGGAGCCGGAATAATGGAAAGTTTCTCCACTTGCATCGACAGTTTTCCATGAAAAGCAACTAAAAATGTTGCCACTAGTTTGGGTGACTCTGCTAATCCTCGCCAGAGCTTCGGCCGATGAGACAACAGTGCCGAGAATAATGCCCAGGATATTCAATGGGGAAGAGACGAGCAGCGGTAACCTTGGCGGCATTGGCGTCCAGGTATTCTACATTAAGAAGCTCGTCTGCTCGGGCACCATCCTGTCAACGCGACACATTCTGACGGCTGCCCACTGCTTTGACGTTGGGAACCGGCAATGGTTCCACGTGGTGGCGGGACACACGAACCAGTTCGAAGGCCACACGAAGACCTCAACAAAGAACGTGCTCATAAAGATCAAGATTCATCCCGAATATAACAAAGAGAAGTTCATAGCGGACATAGCCGTGGCCAAGACTTTCCTAACGCTGAAGAGCAATCGCATTGGCTATGCCACCATCTGTCGCTCCCAGCTCTTTCCCAAGGAGTTTGTCACCGTCGCCGGCTGGGGCGTCGATGGCCGAACCGGGCTCGGAGTCCGCAATAGGCTGCACACCATTCGAGTGCCAATCGTGGATAGGATGTCCTGCGAGCGCGCCATTGGCCGCCGCATTCCGCCCAACGTGATCTGCGCCGGCGGCTACGAACATCGCACCCTCTGCGACGGCGACTCCGGTGGACCACTGTTGCTCATGAAGGAGGTGTGCGGCGTCAGCGCCTGGACGTATGAGTGCGGGGAATCCACAAAGCCTGACATTTTCATGAGTGTCAAGTTCTATGCCAATTTTATCAAAAACACAATGAAGGAATTGGGCTACTAAAGGAAAAAGTGAAGTCAGTCAGGGAGAAGGTTACGCTGCCCATTGTACCCCACACAAAAACTAGAATTTCTATACACCCTACAGATAACAGAAATATTGTATGTAAATCAGTCAGGTAGTCCTTAATCTCATGGGCAATAAAATACAACCGTAATAAGGAAATTCCCTTGGTAAATCAGCTTAAGCTTTGTCATAAACATTCCTACATAGAATCTGTTTTCCCAGAATTACCAGAACCTTATTAAATGTAATGTAGACATGTCAAGTAATACACGCGGCATGTAGAATGTATAATTGGACGTTCTTTGCACCTACCTATCGTTCACGTGTCATCACCCCATTTCTGTGCTCCGGCTCTCTCTCTCTGTCTCTCTGTCCAACCAAGCGTGAATGGAGAGGGCAAATTGCAGCGTTGGCGCCTGCAACAGCACCACACCGGCAAATCTCAGCAGAATATAGTGGAAAGCAGGCAAACAGTAAAGAAATCTCATCGCTGCCGCTGTCGCCCAAGCTGCGTCTTTTGTCTCTGTTTAGCCCACGCTTCTTAACGCGGCTCATCAGGTCGCCGGAGACATTGCCAGCTACTTATTTATTGCATTTTTTCTCTCTCTGTAGCCGGCAACAAGTAGTGCTCTGTATGCTCTGGCTCAAGGTGAATCGATATGAGGTAAGCACTCGCTCACGCTCTATCGATTTGTCAATGGTTTGGTTTGCCACACCTTCTTTTCAAAACAAGCGAATGTGATGGAGAGGCCTTTTCTGGGATTGAGTCACCCAATATTAATACACTTTGGGTCGGCCTGCCAGTCGACAACATTGCCAACCTACTTTTTTTCTTGAATGTTCTGCCGCTGTTGCCGGCAACACGTCATTTCTGTATGCTTCGTATCAAGGTGTACGAATATTAGGTGAGGTATTTCCGAACCACCCGAGATTATCCATTTTATTTTCCACCCTTCTCTCTTCAATAGTGAGTGCGTTGCATGCTTGCACGATCTAGCACAACATATGAAAATATCATGTGAGCACTCTGTGCAGGGGCCTCACCTAACCTTAATACACCGTGGACTGTGGTTCCGCATCTTCAGCCGGCAGCATTGCCAACTATTTGTTGTGTGCCCCAGCGCTCTCTCTCTCTCTCTCTCTCAACCTCGCTCTCTCTCTACCTATCGCTGGCACTGTACTCTCTGGTCTCTCAACCCGCCCGTTCATTCCGTTTGATTTCTCAAAGTGAACGCGCGCAACGATCGCAAGCAGATCCCGTTTTCGAATTTTGAGCCCAAACAAGCGCTGCTTCACTGCATCCCAAAATCTGACATAAATTTTGGTCTTCCGCGTGTGCGTATTTGTGTGTTTCTGTGTATCTGCATCTGCAAGAGAGAGAGTAATTGATAGTGTGTGCCGCCGTCAATTCAATCGATACAATACAGCACAACCTTTGAGTGTGAGTCACAGTAACAAACAGTCTTCGATATGAGGGAAATCGTACATCTGCAGGCGGGCCAGTGCGGCAATCAGATCGGTTCAAAGGTGCGTATAATTAATATTCAATTAGAGACCGCACACACCTTTCCCTGACTTTTCGGTACGTTTCTAACCTCACATGTTTAATTATAAAACAGAATCGAAAGAGAGAAAGCAGCAAAACGTTCTTGCGCGCGCTCTCTCTGATTTTGTCGCACCCCCCACCCCCTCCGCGCACAAACTCTGGCTCTCGCTCTCTCTGTGTGTGCGCTGTGTCTCTCAGATTTGCAGCTGGGCGGCAATTGAAATAGGGGGCGGGGAGAAAAAGAGAGAGAGAGTTTTGGTGGATTCCGTTAGTTGGAGGAAACTATAAAGTTGCAAAAAAGCATAAAATAAACGAAATGGAACCGCAGCTATAGTGCCAGCTCTAGGGTTTATCTTATCGGTGGAGATACTTTCATACACACATACATGCACAACGTATCAGCATTACGCACAAATTTCACATTTGCTCAGCCTGGGAACAAAATTCTGTCCATATACGACCATAAAAATGCCCATTCAAATCCAAGGCAAACGTGTAGAACGACCTCTGTCAGGTGTAAACAATTAGCAAAGCGGTTTGGATGATGATCTCAACGGCCCATGTTGGAACAAACCATAAGTAGATCAAGCTCAAGTGTAATCTAATCGCAGGAACAAGTTTATTTAAATACAATACGTGTACTGTTTTTTCAAAAGAAAAGCGTTACATGCTGTTCTGGAAGGTATTCTGAAACTTCCACCGAAGGTCTGTCTGTCTGTCTGTCTGTCTCTTTGATGCTTCCCCGTCATTAACTGGTTTATGTGTGTGTTGGTGCCACAACTAACTCGTTTTGGGATAGTTTTTCACGGCATTCCATGTGCCCAATTCTCGAGCTCATTCTCATTGTTAGTACTTGCGAGCCCCCCTCCACAGTTGACTGAATTTACAACAATCAAAACTCATTTACGGGGAAGCAGCTGTCTTTATGAACGAGAGCTGAAAAACTATTCCCTTTGCGTTTTGTCTCATTTGGGAATACTGAAATACTGGAAAAGGTAGCCAATTGCACCTGGCACATGTAATTAAGCCGGCAAGCCGTCAGAAGCGGGTCTTTTATGTAGTATCTGTATCTTGCAGCTGATGTATGTATCTGAAACAGTGACGCACACTAAGGCCTACCTGTGCGTGTCATATCACACAGTTGCTCCCGTCTAATCAGTTAACTTGTTTACAAAACTTTAAACATAAGTAGATGTCAATGGCAGTCCGATAACAACCAGAGCCCAAAAATAGCAATTACATACTGTTCTCAGCTATGTCTTGCAACACCCAGGGACTTATGCAGACGGCAGATATGGAACATGGAAGGTCCCAGAGAAGCGTCCCATCCCCAGAGTTCTGTTCCGTTGCGTGGCATGTTCGCAGGCAATTAAAAATGTCAAAATGGAAAGAGTCTTGTAAATCCAAAAACAAAACCGGAGTGAATGCCCATTCTAAGCTAATTCAGCGCATTAACATTCACTCGCTCAATTTGCGGCGCCATGGAAATCCAACAACATAATCATCAAGCAGCAGCAACATGATGGAAAAGCTAGTCGAAGCATTAAATACTCTGGCAGCTTGTACCACAAAATTCATTAAACTGATAACACATTGCACGTTCACACGTGAATGGCAATCGACATTTGTAACTGAAACTAGTTTGCATTAACAGAATGTTAATGTTAATGTTAAGATACATTTTCTATGCTCTGCAAACATTTGCTCGAAACCATAATACCCTCAATCCTCAAGAGTATATACAGAAATAAAAAGAGCAACAACAACCTCTACGCGGGGCAGTCGTTGACGTTTGACACAGTTTTTTTTTGTTCCTGTGTCTTTTCTCTGCATTTCCCAGAGAGCAGTTTTCTCCGCCCGTTTGCATATTTTGTTACGTTTCTCTTTTTTTGTTTTGTTTTGCTTTTTACACGCTTTTCCACTTAAATTTATATGTGTAAAGGCAAAAACACACACACAATACAACACACCACACCACGCACATATTTTAAAGCACTTTTTTGCGTGATTCGTTGAGTTAATTAGGACGCACACTTTACATTGATACAAAAGCCTTTTTGGGACAAAACCCATTGAATTTTATGCACCCGATTACGCCCCCAAAAAAATGCCATAATACTTTGCGACCCTTATGGCGGCGCTTTTGTTGATCTAAAAAATATATGCTATTATTTATAAATATTTATGCAATTTTCTGCTTATCGAAACTTTATAGATTGGCGGCATTACATTTTATAATAATAATAATAGAGAACATATTGTATGTAGTATTTTGTGGGCCATCCCCTATTCATTTTAGTTTTTTACACACACACACACAGAGCGCTGGCGATTTCCCGATTGCCCGAACTTTAATTGAATGTCCTTTTGCTGATTAATTGGCTGTCAGTGTGAATTATTGCTGCAGCCTCAGAATAAACAAATAATAAATTTATGCAAAACTGCCTACGTGGCGCGCATTGAATAGTGAAATTTATGCAGAGCAGCGTAAATGGCCAAAGCGCTTTTTATTTTTTAATGCAAAAATATATTTTTTGCAAAACTAATTGCTTTGCCGATAAAGGACAATGAGCAAACAAACACACACGCACACAAACACAGGGGAGGAAAAAAACGAATTTCAGATTGATTAATGCTTAAATAAATATTTTATTCAACCATGAATTCATCTGCAATTATGTCGAACATACTCGTAAAAACTTTGCCTCACAAGAAATCTAAGGGATGATATTCCTACTCGAAAAAAGGCGCTAGAAATGTAACTCCTTTGTAAAATTAATTCTATAGAAAAAAAGAGCTGTGACATCTAAAATTGGCCATGATATTTCCAAGAAGGTTTGCAAACACAAATAGGATGCGGCATTCCCTTTATTACAATGGGCGCAACAGAGGTCGAAGTGTGTAGGAAAGACCTACCATAAAACTTATGTACTTGTACACCAAAAGATCGTTTCTATTTTTTTTATTAGTGTAGAAATTTATAAGAGAGGCACGAAAAATCGTCAGCATCGAAAATAAATTACAGTAAAATGATTGAGCCATTCTTGCTTCTTTAAGTGTATAAAATACTTCATCTTTCAGGTTTCCAAAACATGTTCCTCAACCTTTTGTTGTCTCCCATTTATATAGACATAAATAGACATTGAGTTTTCATTTAAATTTCATTTTTATGAGAATGCCTTTGAGGCATCTTCCGGTGTGCATCAGAGGCCACTGAAAATTGATCACATATGTATGTATTTGGCATATCCATAGCGAAGGCATTTTTGGCCAAGGATGTTTTGCAGCTTTCTTTTTGGAGCCCTGCAGGCAAATGCGCTCTTCTTCTTCTTTCATTATTTACATAAACCTAATTTTCCCTAAATCATTTTGCGAACAATAACAGGGGAAAATCTATTTACGAGGCATGGGCACATGCCATCTAAAGATGGAGAAAATGTCTGTGGGAGGGAGGGAGGTCGGAAAATGCGGATGAAATTTATAGACGGGGCCAAGAACAGAAGAGCAGAAAAGCAGAAAGAGACCCCAAAGCAGGAGACAATAAAATTAAAGAGTGAAATAAGCCAGGCCAAAGGGAACGTGAAACGGAACCTCAACGTGGCCTCAACGACAT